AGAGGAAGAGGGAGAGGAAGAGGAAAAGGAGAAGGAGGAGAAGGAGGAGAAGGAAGGATGGAAAAAAGAGAATGAATGAAGGAGGAGAAGGAAGGATGGAAAAAAGAGAATGAATGAAGGAAGGAAGGAAGATCAAACAGTGGTAAATCCCCTTGGCTTACCTTTCCTTCACAAGTGATGTATCGTCTATTCTCGACAGGGTGCTTAAAGTCAAGCACAAGTACAAGACGAGTTTTATGATCTTTGACATCAAAATTCCTCGAATGTTCTAGCCTCCGAAGTTTACCCACATCTGAAGCATCAACAAGTACGTCGATATCCGAGTCGTACGGTATAATATCGGTGTTTCTTAGCACACCAAGTAACGACCCATAAAACGAAGCCCAGGAAATATTGTAGCGTTCGGCAATTCTACACCATGTTTGCAACAACCTGGTTGAATTTTTCTTGAAGATATTTGGTGGGCATTGAGAGACATTTCCATATTCAGTGTACGGTATTTCAGATACAAAATCGCTTCTTTCAATGTCAACGTTTTGCTTTGCAATGTGAGAGGTTTTTGCTTCAAAATCATTGAGGTTGTCATTCATTCTGCGAAAGCTGTCGGATCGAAAATTCCAGTAACCTAAGGAAGGCTCGCTTTTCCATGACAAGTAGCCTTTCCTGAAGGCAGGATAAAAGACCATTGACAAAGCTACGCTACTAAGAAAAAATAAATAAAACATGAACCTGGAATTCATCTTGTAAATCGCCAGAAAAAACACAAATATTTTGATCAGAATTTTCAGAACGAGCGGAGTTTCGGCAATCGTTGTACACTTGTGCTCTTGTCTCGTGTAGGTCGATGGGAAGGCACGGTATGTGAAAGAAAAGCTTCTAAGTTTTCTATTTTTCTAAGGACACGAAAAACCAAAGGAGTAAATTTTCATAATTTTTGTCGCAAATGGAATCTTTTAGTTCAATTTTTTGGTATAGATTTAAAGCTCTTCAGTGATACGGACTGTCTTGTGTCAACTYGAAAGGTTTCTCAGACGCCGGTTTCTACAATTTACCACTGAAGAACGACGATAATTTGAAAAGTATTTTTTATTTTTTCCACGCGCTTTTTTAACATAGAATCGAGAATAAATGCCTTTAGACTGTTACGGCTGTTGAAGAAGGGAAAGGAAACAAGGAAACCAAGGAAACTTTTAACTACTTAAACAATAAATAAGTTAGAAAAGCCACAAGTCCCATTAGATTACACTCTAATGATTATACTATTTGACTACAGTGAGAGAGCTCGAACCGTCAACATTTCGAGTTTTTTGTTATTTCCAAAATACGTACTGTAAATCATCCCTTGAGCCAATCTAAAGTAAAATTTATTTTGATATCTCAGTGTATTTTAACTCTGCGTTTCATTTCAGAGGGTTTGAAACAGTAGAAAGTTCAGAAAATAATAACGTGAAAGAAACTCGAAGTACTCACGGTTCGAGTGTCCTTAAGGTAAAACTGACTTTAACAAAAATCATTACTTATTATTACATCATATTTTAAAAGCTTAGAGCGCAGTTCGTCCTTTTCTTTGTCAGTGTAGTTAAAGTGCTAGTCTTACGAAAATKACACCATCCCTGGAAATTGTAGCATATAAAACTAGATATGTAATATAGCTTACTGTCCAAATTCTTTTTTGATACGAGACTGGGAAGATGGTGCATTTAGCCGGTAAAGTTTGGCCGTTTGAGTCCGCCATTAAGCGATTGCGTTCCTGGTAACTTTTAGTGATTCGAAGAAAGTGACGTCATACGCGCCACCTTCAAAATTCCCGGCTATTCACAATGTGTAATTGCAACCAAATTTCGACTATTTTTGATTTAAAAACAGGCCTTAAACCAAATCATGTTTTCTTACAGRGAGTGCATTAGAGTCAGTGTGGATAAAAAGGATGCCAGTTGCGCATATGACGCCACACATAAATTAAAAATCGCTGCTCATAGAAATGGCGGACGAGCTTTTAACAATTTACGGAAGTAGAATTCAGACGGGAAAAGTTTCTTTTTCGAACCAATTATTGTTTATTGGTGAACATTATAACCTATTTAAGCATATACAAAATCGGGGATTTTTTTTGCGTCATTAATTTTTTCGTAAGACTAGCACTTTAATGAAGAGTTCGATATCGATAATACATTATTACAAAGTTATTTAACTCGCTTCTTATTTCATTTGAGGGAACGAAGTTCGAATTTTTTGTGGCTTCGCGTCTTCGTCTCTCCACAGACTTGTTATTGTTTTTGTCCCAGTGTAGAAGTTAATTCCCTGAAACGCAGAAAAAAACGAAAATCCAGTGAACTGATGTACCTATTCGAGCCACGCAAATTCGCTAAAATTGAGAAGACAGTTTGTATTTGAAGAGGARAATAATCGATTTTATGAATTCTTATCGAAAAATTTCATAGGAATGTATGGTAATTCTTATTATAAAGTTCCCGTTCTGATATTATGGCCCCCCAAGTTCCTTAAATTTGGATGCGCACGCAACCTTGAGAAAACGGTATATTTGAAAACACTTCAAAATCTAAGCCTTTATTCCAACTAGAAGGACCGTACGTCAAGTGGATTTAATTTACACCTTATAAAATCCTCTCAATTGAATATGAACTTAGAGAAGGAATCCCCGCGCCAAATCATGAGCACTCTTTGATGCTATTTTTAGAATCTTTGATGCTATTTTTAGAATCTTTGATGCTATTTTTAGAATCTTTAATGCTATTTTTAGAATATTTGATGCTATTTTTAGAATCATTTCAAGGTTTTGCTGAAACCGGAGTATCAGGACCCAGGGGAGGGAAAGGGAGTCTTCCCCCTCCCCCCTCTCCCCAATGGAGCCTAATGCTCATGTTAGTTTGAGAATGCTCACAGGACGTGAAACTGTAACAGGTATGAGATCTCAAGTCTATCAATAGTCATCAGCAGGCGTTTAAAATATGTAAATGTATCTACTCATGATCCTTGTCGGTCTCAGCTTTGTAGCTTTTCAGGTGCTTAACTTTATTCAAATGATCATAATAAAACCTAAAAGTTCAAAACAGAGGACAAGACTTGAAATACCTGTTTTCCATAGAAGTGAGCATCACCAAGGAAAGATCCACGTGATCCAGTGAAAGAGAACATTGGCAAAGGTACTGGGATTGGAACATTTACACCAATCTGGAGAGAGAGAATTCAGTTCATTCACACCCTTTGGCCTGTCTTATCAGTAAAATAAGTTTGGAACTTTTTTAATTCTAATTTTTTAAAATTCAATATTAAATTTCAGTTAAAAATAAACAGTTGAGTGGTACGCATAAAAGATCCACACGCATCCGGAAATTTTTGTATCCGGAAATTTTTTTTTGCGGATACGAAAATGTTCGCGTCCACACGCAGCGTATTCGAATTGTTTTCACTGTCCACACGTATCCGGAAATTTCTTGATCCGCCCTGATGCACACTAGTGCCTAGTCCCTTTGACGGATAGTTTTCTTATTGAGCATGCGTAAAATCGTGTTTRCGTCATCGTATTCGAAAATTTGCGGATACGACCGTCCACACGTATCCGTATTCTGAGCGCATTCGAAAATTTCCACTCTGGAGACTGTTTTCGAAAATTTCCGGATACGGATACAAACATTTCCGGACACGTGTGGACGCAAATCGTATCCGCAAAAAAAAAAAAATTGCGGATACAAAAATTTCCGGATACGTGTTTACCGGGCCTGAATGTTGTAATATGTGGTTTTAAAATGGGCCAAATTTGAAAACCCCTATGCAAAGCATGTGATGTCACTTACAAGCTATACCTTTCAACCAATCAGTACTTAGAAGTGTAACGTTAATTACCTGACCAACGTCGACTTTCTGTTGGAACTTGCGAGCGACGGCACCAGAGTTGGTAAATATGGCTGTGCCATTGCCATATGGGTTTTTGTTGATGATTTCTATTGCCTGGAGGGAAATATTATATCATAAGAATGATTGCACAAATATATTAATGATATATGACAATGATAAGAGGAATGAAACTTGTCAATGGAAAAAAGATAACATATTTAAGAATTCGGTGAAAAATCTGGGACAAAAAAGTGATTATTTAAGAAGTTACTTTAGTGTAAAATATGTAAATGACACTTAAACAAGACTTTTCAGCAAACTCCCAACTACAATCTGAAGAAATAGGAAACGGGCACTTGATGCTTTCTTCAAGAATAAAGCATGTGTGAATAAGATAAAAACAACCTGCAGTAAGCTCTAATGTAATGCAATTCTGTACATACGTCTTCCATTGTGTCGACATCCAATGCAACCAAGACAGGCCCAAAGATTTCCTCTGTGTAACACGTCATTTCAGGCTGGAAATTAATAGGCACCACGGTCAGTTTGTGAAATTTTTGACAATGTATTCATGCTTTAATAAAATCACAGATATCCATACAAAAGACGTTACTCTTTGGGGATTTTTATAGTTCTAGAAAATATCCATACCCCACCCACTGAGGAAGTTGGAAATTCTGGAGGGGAGGGGTTACAGAGAAATAATTTCTCTGTCACCCCTCCCCTTCGGAATTTCCAATTTCCTCAGTGGGTTGGGTATGGATATTTTCTGGAACTACAYATTTCTTATATGGAATATTATAAAATAACTGTTTGGTTGATTGGTTTGGAGCGCGTGCTTTATGAGAGCACACTGCACGCGCRCGCACTTTTCGTTGCGTCATTCCTATCTATTATTGTAATTTTTATTTTATAAAAAAAATAAATAACTTGCTTGCTGTGCTGTGTGCAGTCATAAAGCACTTGGGGATTGGCAGAACACTCGAGAAGTGTCGAGAAGCACTCCGCTACGCGTCGTGCTCTGTAGAGTCCCAATTAAATTCCTCAATTTTGTTGAGTGTAAATAAACAAAAAATCACACAATCTTCTCGTAAGATTTGGAATTTATAGATACTCATGATGTTTTAAAAGTTCTCAAATTGGACTTGCCTAATTTTGAAAACTTTCAAAACATACTGTAACTTGTACCTATAGATTCTGAAAATTGTACTCGAGATCGTGYGATTTCCTATACAAATTCTAATTTCATCTTAAACTTTCATTTAAATTGGACTTCATGTGAGTACATAATGGAAAAGGTTGTTAATATTTTCAGACCAAACTGGATGTAATTACCAACCTTAACACCAGACAGGATAGTAGGACCAACAAAGTTACCATTTTCATATCCCTTTACAACAACATCTCTGCCATCAAGCTCCATCTACAAAGACCAAAAGACAATTTCTTTAATTTGCCTTCCAAAGTCATTTTCTATATTGCAATACGTTTGTTATGTAATAACAATAATAACTTTAATATTTTATAACACAAATATTTCATATGCATATGCTCACATGTGTGCATGCTTCTATATTATGACCTAATCAGTACAAATCAGTGTTTTCCCAATTTAGATGATTACGTCTTTCCTTTAGCCTCACTTGCTATGACTGGAATGGATGGATGAATGGATGGATRAATGGATGGRWWRA